ATAAACAATAGCCGAAACTCTGCCTTATTTAAGGTCACTGTTATGACCACTTTTGCATTGTTTCATATTGTTGATTAAGGTCTTCACCTACTTGGTGATTTGTAAATAGTTGCATGTATTTTTGGCATTCTCATGTGGTAGAATGTGCATGTCCCTTGTTTGAATGAGGAAAGCAGCTGGAACTGTGTTCTGGGGTAATGTTAATGGCTCGGCCTCTTTGTATATATATATATACCTGAGTGTGACACTACCTTTGTCTGCAGTAGGCTTCTTACACAATATATTTAGTTGTTTTTTTTTCCTCTCTCTCTCTCTCTCTTCTTTTTTTTGTTTTTCCCATTTTCTTATTCTTTTTCTGTACTTCTATTCTCTGATGTAAATAACAAGAGGAATGGGTTACACCCCCCCCCCTCCTTCCTGTCCCCCATGACAAAGCTGATATAGATCTCCATCTGTTGTAAGTGTCACTCATGGACAACCTTCTCCCCTTCTCAGACTTGTATTATACTCCTGTATTTTCTTGTACCAGTTTTTATATGATCCTCTGCTTCAACCTGTTATTATAAATACAAGTTAAAGGAGTCTTTTTTTTATATACAAAGATGATGCATGAAGTAAAACATAACTCTGCATCAATGTATAATCTCTGGTGATTCATGTCTACAGAAACCCTAGTCCATGTTTACATTTGTTGCAAATTGTCATTTTGTCTTGTATATTTATGTGCATATGTTAACACCTATTTATTGATGCAAATGTTTATCAATTGAGATAAGTTCTACAGTGAAGCTTCTTGTATTGGTGTAGATGAAATTGCATTTACTTTAATTTATTGTTATTATTGAGGATTAAAATATGGAAAATGGAATTTATTTATTATTACTGTTGTTGATACTATACATCAGTGTCATAATTATTTACCTTATTATACAATGTGGTAGATTAAAGGAGTAAATATTTTTCCTTTATGGTAATTTGAAGCACAACCTAGGCATATCATATCAAGTGTTTACAAGTAGCTATACTGCTCCATTATGGGAATTAATTCATAAAAATGTATTTTTATTGCTTTTTATAATAATAATTTTTTGTTTTCTTTTTTATGAAATATGGAATAATTTTTTTTTCCAAGTTTCCTTTTCTGTAGCGGCCAGAACTTGATGTGGAACAAATGTGCCCACCATTGTATTCGAGTCTAGCCAGGCCCAAATAAATATGGTTGTCAATTTTTCTTTATTCTTTTTAGTTATTCCTTTGTTTGGGATTGACTGAAATATTGCTGCAGATTTCATATTGTGGTTACTTTGATGGACATGTCCGTATGACGGTGGATATTTTTTTCTCACCTGTAATGTTGGTATCTGTATTTTCCACTCATAGTCACTGCTGACTTGTTTCTATTTTCTGAATTCTCATCCCTGATGACAAAAGCTTACAATTGGTTTCCACTAATGGTAAATAACAAATAATTGTTAGGAAACAGCACTTCTGCCATCTCAAACATACTGTACCTCAATAAAAGCCTCTTGTTTTAGGAAGCTGGCAGATTTACATCATGATTTAAATAGGCAAAGTTACCCTAATGGCCCATTATGGCAAAAACACATGCCATGTGCACTGTAACAATATTTATTTATTGTTTAAACAGACATGGTTCCATAAGTACTTAGTCAATAAGGTCCCCCCAATCCCTTGCCCGTTGTTGTCATGGGGGGCTCAGCAGACGGAGACAGACCCAATGCAGGGATCTCCCCTGCCTCAGGCCTCAGCCCTCAACTCAACTAACTTTGCATGGCCTTTTCTCCCTTCAGCTTTCCACTTCCATCCCTTCTACTATCTATTTCCTAAGGTGTAAGAGCCGTGCTGAAAGGATGAGAGAGACATTCCTACTCTCCCAACTTCCTCAACTTCATCACCTCTACCCATACAACCTTCATCAAACACCACAACCTCCCTTATTACTACCTTATAGCCTTATTCTTCATCTCTTCAGAAAACTATCCCCTCAACAACACTCCCTCTTCCACACGCCCCCATCCTTCTACCATCACCAACCCTACAGCTCCTTACTCAGGAAACACTCTCCTTTTTCAAGAATGTCTCCAAAAACATGTAGGCAGAGTCCCTTTCCATACCCGACGTGATCGCTCCCGTCTCGTAACAGTCAGATATGAAACTGGAGCTATAGCACTATCAAAACTGGCAACCCCATCCCTGCAGAACCTCATCCAATTCGTAATACTTGTACCGGAACTGTCTCTATCTCCCCAGCAAACTACCCAGTCGATACCAAAGATTGGTCAGATTGTGGAGAAGACTTGCTTGGCTGCCACAAAGTCCAGGAAGTGATATCAGTACATTGCTACTCCATTCCTCCTAGAGGTCATTGAAAGAAACCCACCAACATTGCAGAAATTACTTTCAGTACACATGACCTTCCCGTTCGTATCTATATTGGTGACCAATCCCTCCCTGTTTGACCATACCAACCTCCTCCCTG